CCCATAACATTTATAATGCACTAGTACCACTCGACATAGGATACACACAATCGCGATCAATTGAAATGCCATCAATCATTAACTATATGGTGGGCATTGAATGGCCAAAACCAGCGGCAACAACATGTAAAAAGCAGCAAGCGCACATAAAAACACAGTATCCTTAATCTCATATTTAATATCGTTTAATAATTTGTGTCATGTTTTTAAGTGCCGGCGACGACTGCGGGCTATATATACTATACAATATTGTTAGACTAACCAGATGTCCGGGAATGATCTGGATTTTTCAGGAATTAGATAGCCTGTTCAAAATTTTAAACATATTTTTAACATTAAGTCTATGAAGGTGTCCAGGACAAAATAGACAAAATTTAAAAATGTCCAGAAATCCAAGATTATAAAGCTCATTTTTGTCTATAATTTCTCTCTCTCTCTCCCTCTCTCTCTCTCTCCGCAAGACTTTTAGTGATTGAATACCTTTGAGGCAAACGTAAAGTCAAATATACGGTTCACTTGTCATTACACTATATATCCCTATAATATGCCAATCGCTGCACATATAGTATAGCCGAGAGTTTGATATGCGAGAGCTATGGCAGGCGCTGGGATTTAAGGGGATCTGTGTTTGTATTTATATAACCCAATTCACAAGACAATAGGTTAGTGTAAAGGCAATTGATTTAGTGCACAGCCATAGCATCTCTTAGTATCGGCTATTGTCACTGTTTGTACACTATTGGCAATGCATTAACAATAGCCTACACTGTCTGTAATGTAGCAATAATTGGGTTCACGACGACTAGTTTGCCCACCAATTTATGTAGCAAATAGTCGATACACTATAATATGCAATGTATTTATTGATTATCTTCTTGAATTATTCTGTTGTAAATCTACATATTTATATGACTAGTGTTGTTGTGTATTTTAGATAGTGTTTTGTATGACATAAATGTAATAATAAAAACAATTGTAATAAATTTTATCCAATATTTCATCATTAAATTCATTGATTCGCAAAGTTATGGACAAAAAAAGTAAAGAATGTTTTAATAAAAAATAATATCAAATCAAAAGTTTGTTTAAAAAATGAAAATATATTTCTGTTTCCCCGAGTATTATAGATATAACTCAATATACAATCATAAATAAATATATATTTAAGTGATATAGATATACAGTAGAGTACAGTATATTATTTATTATATTTTTACGTATTTTTAATATAAGTAAAAGTATCGGCATTTCTTTGATACAAAATCTTGTATTAAATAAAAATATAATATTTTGCAAGAATTTCAAACCTTCTTGTTACTATTTTTGCAATAAAATTAATCTACTTTACACTCCCAATCACTTTGCTATACTATGTGTACAATAAAAAGAATATTCTGTTAATTAATTTAGTTGAGATTATAGGTATAAAATAGCATGGATAAAAATTTAAAAATACCAAATAACATACTAATTATCTATTGTATAACTTAATATATTTACCAGTATTAAAAACCCCTAAAAAACATTATAGAAAACCACCCAATCCCATTAATAACATGCATTTGACAGCAAGCATATAGCAAACTAACCAACATAAAAACCTTAATCTTTAGGGTAATAATAATTATATAACAAATCACATATATAAAAAATCACCCATAACATTTATAATGCACTAGTACCACTCGACATAGGATACACACAATCGCGATCAATTGAAATGCCATCAATCATTAACTATATGGTGGGCATTGAATGGCCAAAACCAGCGGCAACAACATGTAAAAAGCAGCAAGCGCACATAAAAACACAGTATCCTTAATCTCATATTTAATATCGTTTAATAATTTGTGTCATGTTTTTAAGTGCCGGCGACGACTGCGGGCTATATATACTATACAATATTGTTAGACTAACCAGATGTCCGGGAATGATCTGGATTTTTCAGGAATTAGATAGCCTGTTCAAAATTTTAAACATATTTTTAACATTAAGTCTATGAAGGTGTCCAGGACAAAATAGACAAAATTTAAAAATGTCCAGGAATCCAAGATTATAAAGCTCATTTTTGTCTATAATTTTTATCTCTCTCTCTCTCTCTCTCTCTCTCTCTCTCTCTCTGTCATGAAGTGTGCATTGAATTTATAGACATATTTGAGATTTAGTGGGAGAAAGACAGACAGAGAGAGAGAGAGAGAGAGAGAGAGACGTCTAGAGATCATTTGGCATTAGTATATGGGGTTAAAAGACATATCAGACAAAATAGCAATAAGTTTTCAATTATATGTTATATAATAATAACGAGAGAGAGAGAGAGAGAGAGAGAGAGAGCTAAAACAAACATCTCTTAAATTGGGTCCAAAGAATAGATACCAAAATTAATAAAGTAGTGAACAATCAATTGAGATATAAATTGAGAGCAAAAACAAAATAATATACAAATAAATTGAAAGAGAGATTTAAAGAGATGTCACATCATTTATTGCTCTCTCTCTCTCTCTCTCTCTCTCTCTCTCTCTCTCTTAATTTACTCTTTATTATACTTTATATATTTGACACATAAAATGCCAGATTTTTTATTTAATGCATTATATGTTATATAACAAAACTTATTTCAATTAAATGATATTTATTGAATTGTTTTAATAAATTAATTATAAATAATTTGTATAGAAATTTAGCATTAAATTAATTTGACTACATAGTTACATGTCAACGTTGCATATTCACTTAAGATTTAATTGACAATTAATAGTGGTATTTATTACTAGTTTTTATTACCGAGTGTTTACTGTATCATAATCTCATATTATATGTTATTTCTTATTGCAAATCCTTTTTTGCTTTGATTTTTGTATCGTATATTTGTAACCATACCATTCACTTCATGGGATTCTCTTTCTCTCTCTCTCTCTCTCTCTCT